CAACCTACTAGCGATGGCCTCCAACCTAATAGCCATGGCCTCCAACCAAATAGCGAGGGCCTCCAACTACCAGCGATGGCCTCCAACCTAATGTTAAGCTCCCTTAGTAAACCATGCATCAATAAAAATCTATGTTTTGCCGGCCAGAAATTTGCAATACTACTTTTAATTGCGCGAACATCCAGACCCCAAAATTGGTTTTTTGAAAAATCGTTTATGAATATTAATTCACGTCAATTAAAAAGTATAGATGTGTTGCCTGCCAGAAAATTGCAATACTACGTTTAATTGCGCAAGCAGAATGCTTTCAGATGATTGTTGTTATGTTTCTTGATTTTTTTTCCTGTTGTGTGTTTTTATCTTTGACAATCAAATTTCCAAACACGTTGGCTAGCCAAAAAACTTTAGATTCCCTTACTTAAGCCCTACCATAGAAATTGAAAAAATGATGTTCAAAGGGTACCCCTTTAGACTGCCACCCGTGCAACAATAAACAAATCTACAATAATCAACCCCCCTGCAGCCCTGCTGGCTTATCCTTGCCTTGTTCTTTACCTTTTAAGTTCTCCTATCTTTTTCTCCTTCTTCTTTCTTGTTTTGTGGAACCTTTATGTTTCCCACAAAAACTGGCTAGCCAAAAACTTTAGGTTCCCTTATTAAAGCCCTATCAACCAAATAGAAAAATTATGTGTCAATTGGTGCCCCTTTAGACTGCCACCCCTGCAAATTATAAACGAACCTACAAGAACCAATCCCCCTGCAGCCCTGCTGGCTTATCCTTGCCTTGTTCTCTTTACCTTTTACTTTTAAGTTCTCCTATCTTCTTCTTCTGATATATTGTTTTCTTTTTTTCTTCTTTTGTGGAACTTTTATGATTTCCAAAAACACTGGCTAGCCAAAAGCCTTAAGTTCCCTTATTAAAACCCTATCAAAGAAATATATAAAAAAAAATATGTTCAAAGGGTGCCCCTTTAAACTGCCACCCCTGCAAATATAAACAGGACTACAATCTGCAGCCTTGCTGGCTTATCCTTGCCTTGCGCTGCTACTACTACTACCACTACCACTACTACCACTACTACCACTACCACTACTACCACTACCACTACTACCACTACTACCACTACTACCACTACTACCACTACTACTACTACTCCTACTCCTACTACTACTACTACCACTACCACTACCACTACCACTACCACGACCAGCTACGACTACTGCCACCTTGCCACTACCACCACCACCACCACCACCCCACCACTACGACTACCACTACCACTACCACTACTACTACTCGTAGTAGTACTCCTCCTACTGCTGCTACTGCTACTGCTACTGCCAGTACTGCTACTACGACGACTACCACACAACAACGCCTCTATTGTGGACATGTTAGTTTTAAAGCAAAAAACACCCAGGACGGATTGAACCCAGCACCTCTGGGTTAAGATTTGACCCTTGACTGCAGAATGGAAGTATGAAGTCTGCTTGCCTTTCAGCTGTGGCTAATGTTTTTCCTTAACCACAAAACAAAAAAACACCAGCCAGGACAAACTGAGCAAAGTGGCTTCGGCTTCCTGGTCCTCAGCAAAGAATGTCTCAGTCACCAGAGGATGGGCCCCGAAGTGCAATGCTTGAGGATCGAGGCACTTCCACACATTCCTTCTCTCCATTGTCTAACAAATCCTGCTGGTCCCTCTATGTGCTCTGGAGAGTGAGTGAGGACTGAGTCACCTCCAAGCATTGCACTCTCTCCATTGTCTAACAGGTCCTGGTGTCCCCCGCTTTTTGGTTTTGCGGCGCAAGGAAAAAAATAAGCCACAGCTGAAAGGCGTGCACATGTCATATTTCCACGTTGCAGTCAAGGGCCAGGCTAGAAAGTTGGTCCTGGGCTCAACCTTCCCGGGCGTTTGTTTTTTTGCTGTAAAGCCAACCTGTCCACAATAGAGAAGCGTTCCATAATTAAAGCCCACTCTACTAGTACTACTAGCACTACGACCAAAACTACTACTACTACTACTACTACTACCACCACTACACCCACCACTACCACTACCACCACTACTACCACTACCACCACCACTACCACCACTACTACCACTACCACTACTACCACTACTACCACTACTACCACTACTACCACTACTACCACTACTACTACCACTACTACTACTACCACCACTACTACCACTACTACTACTACTACTACCACTACTACTACTACTACTTCTACTACTACTACTACTACCACTGCGACTACTACTACTACTACTACCACTGCGACTACTACTACTACTACTACGACGACTACGACTACGACTACGACTAGGACTACAACTACGACTACGACTACTACTACTACTACGACTACGACTACGACTACGACTAGGACTACGACTACGACTACGACTACGACGACTACCACTACGACTGCTACTACTACTACTACCACCACCACCACCATGACGACGACGACGACGACTAACTACGGCGCCACTACCACTACCACTACCACTACTACTACTACTACTCCTACTACTACTACTACCACTACTACTGCTGCTACTACTACTACTGCTACTACTACTGCTATCCCCACTCCTACTCCTACTCCTACTGCTACTGCTACTGCTACCTACTAGCGGTGGCCTCCAACCTAATAGCGATGGCCTCCAACCTAATAGCCATGGCCTCCAACCTAATAGCGCCTCATTCCTACTAGCGATGGCCTCCAACCTAATAGCTATTGCCTCCAACCTAATAGCGATGGCTCCAACCTACTAGCGATGGCCTCCGACCTACTAGCCATGGCCTCCAACCTACTAGCGATGGCCTCCAACCTAATAGCGATGGCCTCCAACCTAACACAATGGAATAAATGGCAGCAAGACTTGTTCATGAAGACTGACAACTCAACAACTCCCGGCAGTGTGGAAACCTTCACATGCTGGACAGTAGTCAATGGCAGCTTCGCCACATTCCTGTGAACGGCAAACCACTTTGGAAGCTTGACAATAGCTTGTTAGGCTGACACCTTCCTACTCTCTCTGTGTCTCTCTATACGTGCTGTGGGTGCAAGGGGTCCTCACAGCCAAGCTCCCGTGGCACTTCCTGATCAAGGGGGGCTGGAAGTTTTGAAATGTCTTGTCGCAGGACCTTGAGATCTTTCAGCACCTGGTACTGTCGGG